TTTTCAAGGACCTGTACGTAGGTGCCACACTTACCCGCGGGCAGGGTTTGAACTCGTTGATGCTCACTTAGACAGGGAACACAACCCTAAGATTTCAGCTCTTTAGCTTCTCAGAACCCCGAGTTATGAATTTGCGCGGGAAAAATTTTGGGAGGCCCCTACGCGGGTACCACACTTACCCGGGGGCTGGATTTGGGCTCATTAGTACCTACTCGGACGGGGAGCATTACCCTACAATTTCAGCTCTCTAGCTTTTCTGGTTCGCGAGTTATCAGATTCCCCGTTAAAAACTTTGGCGGGGTCTTACGGGGGTACCGCGCGGGAAAGACCTTCCATTTTGGGGATAGGGGCCCGTACGTGCATGTAGATTAAGTCCCCAAAGTTTCAGCCCCGTAGCTGAGCCCGTACGTGCATGCAGATTAAGTCCCCAAAGTTTCAGCCCCGTAGCTTTTGCCGGTCTCGAGATGAAAAATTTGTAGATTATACCCTCAAAGTTTCAGCCCCGTAGCTTTTGCCGGTCTCGAGATGAAAAATCGGTACAGTCCCAGCGCACACACAGACACAACACAAACACACACACACAGACACACACACACACAGACACACACACACAGACACACACACACAGACACACACACAGACAACCTCTCGTCAATATGCGTTTTTCGCATTGCATTGCTGACACACACAAACACACACACAGACACACACACAGACAACCTCTCGTCAATATGCGTTTTTCGCATTGCATTGCTGCAAAACACACACACACACACACAGACAACCTCTCGTCAATATGCGTTTTTTGCATTGCATAACTGCAAAAAAAAAGCGTAAAAACCAGTACTAGTGACAAAATATAGGCAAAAAGTCAAACTCCCCTCCCTATTCAGCTTGCTTCAAACACACACACAGACAACCTCTCGTCAATATGCGTTTTTCGCATTGCATCTAAAAAACGCATATAACAAAAAAATAAATTCAACTGTGGAAGGGGAAATAAGGGAAAACCAGACAGATAAAAAAAGGACCTAAAACTTCAAAAAAATCTCGGAAGACAGCGAAGTACAACAAATGGATAAAGAGATCATAAGCTGACGTACTTGAAATGTGTGGGGCCATAGAATAATACTTTGAAGTAGGTTCCAAGCTGCCTTTTGCCGCTTGTTTTCATCTGATCGGCTAAGTTGAACGCTTGCTGTAGCTCGGCGTAGATATTCACCAATGCCTAATGAAACAACCAATTGTGGGATGGTTTTCAGTGACGAAAATTTGGAAGAAAATAGGAGCTCGAGAAATGCCCCGCACAAAACCAGCTTACTCGATAGTTCTTTTGTTCCTCATAAACTGGAATAGCCAGGCGGCAAATTGGCCCAACCGCTTCATATCTTTCGGCCAATACCAATGTTTGCACCAATTTTTCCACTTTGCTCGTAAAAGCATCCTAAATTTCAACACAAAACATTAGGCATAGAAAATGACTAAAATTTTTTCAATTATAACCGGCGAAGATCCCTTCGCAAGCGGATGTGGAAAGTGAGGAAATCGAATTCCGCAACTCCACCCCCTTTGAATCCATTAAAATTACTGTAAAGCGTTAAATACTTAAATATCGGCTTTTTTTGCTCAAAAGCAACTGGAACTTATCAGTGTGTGTGCGTGAGTGTATGTACATATGCATGTGTGTGTATGTATGTATACATGTATGTGTATGTATGTATATGTATGTATGTGTATGTGTATATATGTATGTGTGTATATATGTATGTATGTATGTGTGTATATATGTATGTATATATGTATGTATATATGTGTGTATGTATATATGTATGTATATATATATGTATGTATGTATATATGTATGTATATATGTATGTATATATGTATGTATATATGTATG